TTAACGTAAACGCCATTCATCAGGATTTCATAGCAACACAAAAGCATTACAAATATAAAAGATCAAACCATCAGTATAGACAACTTCAGTTTAACAACACAGCCTACACAGACAGTCCTATCAGAACTGCATCGAGCATCTGGACAAGTTCATCATCTGAGACACAGCACTTTCATACCCAAGTTCACATTTGCACGAAGGCTACACGAACTCAGAGGATGTCACTGTACGAGGAAACACCACCTTGCTTCCAAGTCAAGTGCTCCAAGGGCTGAAGTGCTCTCACTACACAGTAAGCTATTCTTAATGACTACTGCGGGGATGTTCCAGAACCATAAGCTTTTTAGCTCAAACAAGGTAGATATCTTTACTCAGTTTTTTTCAGGAATCCTCTAAATTCCGGTGTTTAAGAAAGGCCTTAAGACACAGGTGGCAAAAAACTTTGGTTGTTTTTTTTTTTTTCCTTAATTTTCTTTTAAAATAAGATAATATCAGTAAATGCCTTAAGGCTTTTTGTTTGTTTGTTTGTTCTAGTTGACCACTGTAACAAACCTGTGAATGATCTTACTACAAAAACAGAATAATACCAGAACAGTGCATTAGTATGGGGAAAAAAACCCAAACCAAACAAACAAACAAAAAAAATCCCACTTGTTAAGATGTCTGGAAGAACTAAGTTGTGGTGATTCATGTGTTAATGAATATTTTCGTATTATTTTTAAGGAAATCATTGGAGTGATAATCAACTCCAAAAATTCAACTGTATCAATAGACTTACTCCTCCCATCTTCCTTTCTTGAAAGATTTTAGAATAATTCATATAGTTGATTAAAAAAAAAAAAAAACAACAAACCAACAGATCAAACAACTCCTTATTCCTTTTTTCTACTCTAAATCACCCTTTGACTAAACTGTCTTGGAAGTCAAATCTCACACTGTTCACATTAGGTGTCTTGTGAAACTAACACAGCTCAGGATGGCCCAACCCTGTAAGGTGCATACAAAGGGATGAGTTAGAGGAACCAAACATTTTCATCTAGTTTCTCACTCATCTGACAAATGCTGACCTTACAACTCAACGCCTCATGTGAGAGGCTGATCTTAAAAAAACAAGTAAGAATTTGTCTTAATTTGCTAAAATAATACCACAACTGTTTCTTCTAGTTGTCATTTTAACAGTTTTCCTGTGATAAAAACATATTTATTTTACTCCTAGAGAATATAAGAGGAGAGTCACTAAACTGTTCAAGTCCTACACAGGTCTTTGATTTTACCTTTATTTTCCTGATTCAAATCAGAAGAATAGAGGTTAGGAATTAAGTCATTCACAGCCATGGAGCAGTAGGACTTATACATATAACCCAGATTTCATTCAATGACTGCAGACCTGAGAAGAGAGTTTCCATTCAACGGAGATAAAAATGTAACAACTGAAGCAATAGTAAGCAGACTTACATGATGAGTGAGATTCTTGGCAATAACTGGTCCCACCATTCCTGGGATGGTAGCAAAAGAATTTGTGATCCCAAGGAGGATTCCAGCATACCTGCAAGAGCAATTGATAACGCTGCTTATTAACGTACCCTGCCTATCGGTCACAGAAACAGCTCTGCCTAACCGGAGCGCAGAGGCCTCATCCTGAACACAGATATCCCCGTGGGAACGGTTTGCTCGGTACATGTGTCTCTATTTTCCAGAGGCTAGTTATGGAATTTAACTTAAATTGCTCACAGCTTTGCTCAGGATCCTCAATCCAAACACACGTCCCCTTTGCTAAGCCACAGCCCAACTGTCTGGAATGGATCCACCGGAGAAGTTAAAGAAACACTGCACACCTTGGAGCGGAAAGATAGCGAGGAGCATGACAGAGTGCTGTTGGCAACACTACGAGTTGGTTCAGGGATCCTTGCTAAAAAACACCTGCCCAGAAAGCAGCATCACCAGTTGGATGCACATCCCGACCTACAGCACAGAGTATGTTCCAACGACCTGAGTTCAGACAGCTGCAGCCGTCAGTCCCTTCAGCCTTCTGTGGGCCAAGGCCAGCGGGAAATGGGTCTGACCCAACCAGCTTGGCGGGTTGCTCCGTTCTGAGGCCTCCTGTTCCATGAATGCGTTGCTCTGTCACACACACGTGCACACGTATGCAGCCGCGGCTGGGAAAAGCTGGTAACATGCTCCGTATCTGAGTCCAGCAGCTCATCTCCAGGCAATTAAAGATCTCTCTCGTAGGAGTTTTGCAATACCTAAAGATCATGTTTTAAACTGTACCACAAGCACAGACTTGTGAGAGAGACTGAAGAGAAGCAGAAGCTAGACTTGTAAGAGCAGAGCTGCTGCCAACCGCCAGAGCACAGATCCCTGGGGTTCAGATGTTCGAGGAGGATTTGCTGGCTGAAGAGTCATACAAAAGACTAATAGCTGCAGCTTACCACAGGAGAAAGGAGTTGTCTCCCAGTGATCGTTTTAGGCTGTTTAGCAGAGTGAAATTATGCCCTCACTGATTTTCGCAACAGAGATGTAACTTCATCTCTAAAGACAGATGCATAACTTTGACATTTTATTTACCAAAACAGAAGAATTCAAACAAACAGCAATGTTACAAAAAGTTGTGACACGTGTATGCAGCCCAATGATACTGGAGAAATGTGTTTTCTCCTGAGAAAGAGAATTCTCTAGCCTACTAGTTGGTTTTTTCTTGGAAGTCAACACCACATATCAGTTTGAAGCATGGCAATGTATTTTAGACTGAGCTCCAACGCCTTAATTATAATGATCCTTATTTCTTATAAAGGTAACGTAGTCGCCTTATCTCAGAGAATGTTTAAGAATTAATAGGCTTTTATGAAGCTGCATGGGAAGGTGTAAAAGTTTCCCTTAGGCAGATTAGCACACACAGCAAAGCTACATTTAAAGCTTCCAGTAGAACCAAATGCATTGTGTTTTCAACATGTTTAAACACTACAATACTGCTAACACACACTTTCAAAACTATACATAGCTGAAGAGTCTCCCTGGTCCCAAAGACCTTTGGCAGTCAGTTGCTGGGTAGATGCCTCTGGTTATACCCAGCGTTTCTGACACAGGCTGCACTCCCGATAACGCTCCCTGTTCGAGGCAGATAACTGCTGTGCCACTCCCTCAGCACCGTGGAGACTCCCACATGAAACGGGAAAGCAAAAAGTGACATGTCTGCAGAGAAAGACTAAGAGTAAGCTGCTGGTCAGGTTCTTATGGCATAGAGGGGATAACCAAATACAAACTGACTTGCAGAACAGTTCAGGAGTAAAATCAAGAGGGAAAACAAGATATGTGAAGTGTTTAGCGTATAATAGAGACACGGGAATATTACAAGGGCTCATGGTAACAGCGATGCTAAAAATTGTAATAATGGTAACACGCTGCTGTAGATCTAAAGAGCTCGAATAGAACACGTTTTCCCCACAAGAACAATTTCATCTCCCTCCAGTCCCTCACCCCCTCCAATTCAATACATAATTCAATGGCATAATACATACATGTTAGAAACCAAAAACACACAGCAAATATTGTTTTTCCTTCAGTATCAGTATTTTCATTAACTTTTTCCTGTGAATATAATTATTATTTCTTTAGTATAATGCAACTTTTAGTAGCAACAAGAGACCCTTTGCTATTCTAGTCAGTATACTTTTAACTGATTAAAATGGGCATTTCAGTGCATTTTGAAACTGCTTTGAATCACTTCTGGTTATTCTTATATCTTTCAGTAAATTAAAAAATAATAAAAATTGAGCTCTAGGTAAACCCTTAACAGAGGTTTCCTTCACACTTTTAAGCAGATCCCGTTTTCATATTTCTACAATTATGTCAAGCATTTCCTTGAAATTGTGACTGTCTGCCTTGGCTATTTCATCCAACAAAGTTCAGACAGTTGCAAAAAGTTAAGCAGGGGGAAAAAAAGCTTCTTTTTCCTCTTGTCTTAGATGTTTTTGCATTCTGTATTTGAAGAAATTTTTTTCTATGACCTTTCTTACAAAGACATGGCCTTTTCCTTCTCTGTCTCGATTTGGATAGAGTTCCCCTGAATTAAAGCATGCACATGCTGAAGAAAGAATCACTGATCTCAGTAACACAGCATCCACCCTGGCCACGTTCCTGTCCAGGAAAGCTTTCCTGCGTACACAGCTATTCACCTCCAGAGGCCATGCCAAGCCACAGTTCTGAACCACCTGCAAGACAGCTGCCTCTCCTGCACCCCTTCAGCCTGGGGGAGAGGAAAGAGCTTGGTTTAAATGCAAAGGGAACACGAGCAGGACTTTGTCGAGGGCAGGAAGAACAGAGTGGGATTTGGTCAGAGGGATCAGCAGCAGTCCACGTGGTGACTCTAATCACACCTGCAGACAGGTATCAGCCTCATGCCACATGATTATTTTCTTGTGGCTTCTTTCAACACCAAAAATACTCTGTGTACTGTCATATACAAATTCACCCTTGAAATAAACACACAAGAAATGCAAAATGAAGTATCAATTAGAAAACAGACGTCATCCTAGCTCTGGAGACCTTGGCCATCACCTTGTGCACACACCTCACAGAGGCACACTCTGCGACTGCACCATGTCCTTCTTCCCCTGACAGCTCTGTTCCACTCAGGGGACAGCGTAACTTGTACTCACTTAACCAGCACCACTTAATATTTTGTTTCACTTCACTTGCTCAATGCATGAAGCCAAGCCTCGCTTTCTGCATACTGTTCCACTGTTGCAAGTAGAATTTCAGTAATCCCAAATGCTTTCCAGTGGAACTCTTCAAAATATTATTTTCACAATACTCTTGAGAGATGGGGGTGACAAGATGAAGCCCATCCTATGGAAAGGAAATGAAAACACAGGCCAAGAACACGTGCACCCACTGGGTGCTTGATTTGAGATCCTCAGGATCTCATTTTAAGAGTATGGAACAGTATTGTTCTTACATCCGAAGAACAGAACTGACTTCTATGCGCACTCTGATTAACACCATTTTTCCAAAACAGAACTTAACAATCTGCAGAGGCATATGAAAACAAGCAATAGATCAGCTAGGCCTCGATTAGTCTGACTGGATCCAACATTAGCTTCTCAGCTGGGATGTTTAAACTTGGACTCGAGATGCAGCAGACCTCCTTCGCCTATTACAGCAGTCTGCATCAGCCTGGAGAAGTGCCCAGCCGTCTTCATAACCTAAAAGTCCAGATTCATAGAGCCAGAGAGCGTGAAGGTGGCCCTCACAGGTGACTGCACTGGGTCTGGTCTAACTGACTCACCACATGCAAAGTCTGTGACCGAGCACTGGAAGGACTCAGTTCCCAAGGGCAAAGTTCAGCTGCCTTAAGCGTGACCCTTCTTTCCTCCCGCAATGCTCTGCCTCCGTCATTACGTGCTCTCCAACTACTACAGCTATGAGACAGAAGGTTTAGGAATGAATCGCGGTCTCCCTCTCTGCGCAACACTCGGTCATTTCTAGAGCGGGATCCATCCTGTGCGCTGAGCGAGGAAGAGCTCCGGTGCAGGGGAGTACTACAACAATGACACAAAGACTAACTCCTGACGCACAGAGAAAAGGAAGCAAACCAAAACTGCACAGACATCCAAGTTCTGCCATTAACTGACAATAGCCATGCCTTTTCATAGTAATGCTTAGGGTTTGTATTTTCAGACACAGAGACAGAAAATACGTAACTCCAACTCCTAGCTAACATTTTATGTTTTTAGGAAACTAACTGCTGTAGTTCTGCAAACCAAAGCTTGAAACAGAAGCTGTACAATGGTGCCATCATACGCCAGGTGCATCACTTTAACTACATCTACATTCATAGTTCTACTTGACTTAAAACAAAGTTAATCACACAAGCTATTCTTTCTTTCATATTCAATTCATAGTAGAAGCTGTTTATAGCTGGTCATTGATATCTTCCCTCTTGCTTGCTACCTAATCTCACGTGCCAAAATTAATCAGGCTTCCGCTATTTCAAGTCCATCTATTAAGTCAAAGCTTGTCCATCATTGTGGACATGACCACTATCCTTCCAATTGCCAAACCCTAGAAACCATCTTCAATTTGGACTGGAGGTCTCCCATGTAAGTTGTCCAGATCTTAAGGATTCTATCCTAGGTAAAATCTCTACAAAATGTTTCTTCCTTCTCCACTCACACTCACACTCTTTTCACCTTACACATTAGTACAGAAGCACTCTTCTTTGGTCAAAGTCATTTGGCCATGCTCATATCTAAACACTACCGCAAACAGGTAAATGAATGACAGAGCAAATTATTTTACTTTTACCAGTGCAAAGAATGCTTATGTGGACTTTCAGAAGAAAACACATACACCCATGCTCCTCAGGAAATTAATGGATCTATCAGGTTCTGAATTTGTACCATGTGGGAGAAATTACAGCCTGAAGTCTAACTCTCCATTCTTAAAATTCAGTTGTTTAATCCTGTACATACAGGACTTATCACCTACTAACAGGTCACCTACTCATAAGGACATTTTGACAGCAGTGTATAGAATATATTTTTCAAATACAAATAATTTGCCTGTATCACAACGCTTAAATATGGTTATGCTTATGCTAAAGGTTGACAGTTCTGACAGAAAAGTTAAAAAGGATGAAACACTTAATTGTATTGCACTGTTCCAAAAACACTGTCCTGTTAAGATCATTAATCAAACAGGACAAAAACCTAGGAAATATAATTACAGGAATTATATTATTTATTACTGCAGGATCAAAAACTGAGTTATTCCAGACTGTTGTACATATCATATCCTCTGCCAAATTTGCATTTTTTGCACATACAGTGCTTAAAATTGTAAACCTGAATCATTGTCCGTGTTTACATTCCAGGTCTGTACAGCACGTGGTCCACACCTAAATCCCAGCAACACACAAAAAAGTGGTGATAAATGTGTGAGGTGCACTGACAATAGCTTCAGCAATACTTACGAAGGTGCTATGTCCAGATGGTTGATGCTGTAGCCAGATGTACAAAATCCTCCCAGGGTTGTCGATATGGTCACAAACGCAACAGCCAGTGCGTAGTTGCAGCCTATGAACCCAGCTGCTACTAAGAACACTGCAGGTCCAATCATTCCTTTAGGACAGAAATGTTAGAATCAATGGACTTTCAACAGGAGGCATTAAGAGGCTCTGTGTGTACATTTGCTATAGGACCTCCAGCACTGCCTGGTGCACAGAACCAGTACTGCACTGCCCTACACGCACTACAGCGGGCCTGCAGGGAAAAGCAGGTAAGCTGCAAACCCATTGCTGCCTCAGGAGATGAGAGCTAGACCAGAAAAATCCCTCTCTAGCTGCAAAGAACAAAGTTCAGCTAGATAAAAAAAACTAAAAAAAAAAAAATCAACAGATACTGTGACTTCACAAATTAATTTTATTTATTGTTATAAAAATAATAGAAGCCACACTGGCACTGGCAAGTGAACAGTGCACTGCAAAGACATTATCCCCATTTAACTCTCCAGTTTCCAGGAGCAAGCACTGCCTTCTGCAGATCCTAATAAAGCTAAACTGGAAGGGTCCATACAAATACATGCGTATACATGTATGTATTTCTCCTGCAGACACCTACTAGAACAAGCTTTATTTCACATTTGCAAGATCTGAATGTCTGGTATATCTGTATCGGATGCTGCTGTACAATTTAGAGAATCCAGGCTAGCTTTAGAGATGCTCCATCAGGTTCTGGAAAGAGCTGAGCAGCCACCGTGAGCTCGTGCACGCTGCTTCGTGTCTGCAGTTAACTCTGGTACCCAGTGCCCAGTACACGACCTCATCATGACCTCTGAAAATAGCTCCAAGTACACGCTTTTGTTGATTAAGCCAACCCAAGAGTCCAGCATGTTTCCCCCTCCGTGGAACACACCTGGGTGCGAGGCCCTGCAGTAAACTGGATCACCAGAACAGCGGATGCTTACAATATAACAAATGCTTGCGAGTTTACTGTAAGAGCTGCTTTAAAGAACGCAACTGAACCAGCAGAATTGAGAAGGCAGCAAGGATGGGCATACACCAAGCACGCTGCAACTTGTGTGGATCCTATGCCTAATACAATTTTTTTCCCCTTCTTTCCCCTGCCTCCTCTTTCATTCAGCAATCAACACTTCCTGTCTAAGCACAGCCTTTTACCTGTATTAGTTAAAAACCTCATCTTGTTGATCTCTTGGTGATTTCGGATCATCTCTCCTCCCAATTAGTCAAGACCAGTTTGGATTCTAATTTGGTCTCCCTGCCCTGGTAGGAAGTGTAATTTTTGCACGTGCATCCCACTCAGTTACTTAAATCTGAAATAAAACGCTGAACAACGCCGGGCTGGGAACAGGCTCAACGGAGGGCAATGTCCCGTCTCAGCCTGAGAAAGCCATTCGCAAGGTACCATTCTGTCAAGCAGTTATCACCACTGTAATGGTGGTCCTACCTGATCACTTATTTAATTAGTTTGCTTGTAAGAATTATGTATCTTCACCCAAACAAAGCTTTTGGCAATCTCTTATCTTTCTCTTATCCAGTAGGCCTACTTTTTTATGGAAAAAGGCAGGATTTGCTCTTGACAAATTACGGTACAAATAAAGCAGCCCCTCTCAAGCCACGCACAATCCTGCCTGATCTCGCAGCAGAATGGCACACTACTCTCCCAAACCCGTAACTTTTCCCAGATTGATCCTATATATATTCTAAACAGAGATGATACTAACACCTACCTATTAGGGTAAAACATTTGCGAACACAAACAGTGGACAAGTTCTGTTTTTCCCGTAAATAATCAGCAATTTGCCCAGACAGAATTATACATAACCAGCAGCCAAAATAAGGTAGGGCAGATAAAAACCCATTCTGTTAAGGAGGCAAAAAGAGACAGTTAAAACACTGAAATGGCAATTCAATATGCTGAAAAATCACTTGTGCTGGAGCGTTAGAGAGACTGAACCAGAGGTGTCAAAACCATCCATCAACGTAACTATTGTTGGTATTATCATAAGAGAAAAACCTAGGAACAGAAAAAGCAAAGCATTTTAAAGATACCAATGTGTAAACTCTCCATTGCATGACTTAATCCATAACTATCAATGCAGCCAGATCACAAACTCAAAGGTTTAAATCAGCAAGTGGGTTGAGGAAAAAGAAAGCTATACATGAAGATATCTCGTGGACATTAACCTGATCGTGCAAGTTTCCAGAAACACCAATTTCATGTAGGACAGGCTATTGGGTGAGTTACAAAAGTAAGTGAAAGCTGTAAATATTATTCAGAATTTTGAAAGCTCTAGGGAATCTCAGGGTTTTGTACTACTGTAACTCTTCAAGACTGTATTATCCTGTCTATCTGCTGAAACATTTGATGCTGGCTGTAACCAGAGACAAGATACACAACTAGGACTTTCATCAGATCCAGGCTAGACATCCCATGATCTCATAGCAAAGCTATTATTCAGGACCTGACATTACTTACGCTGAAGTCACCTGTTAACTCCCATTACTTTAAACACGGGCTGTTTAGAGACTTCTGCCTGATTCTTCATGTTTTTTCTGTGAGGGGAAACAAAAGGTAGTACTAACCTGCATAAGCTTACAGCCTTTCCACACAATTATGGATAATTACTGATAACAGAGCTATGATTTGACCTAATCTGTGATTAAAATGAGGTATTTGGATAGCTACTGGATAGCAACACTCTAACTTTTCTACACTATTACAAAATGTATATTTGTCAGAGAAGTGAAACCTTCCCTAGGAAATTTAATTTGAAATGAGACCAGTAACACATCCCCACCTGAAATCCACTCTGTCAGCACTCAAACATGCTGGGTTTCAATGCTCAGCTTTCAAAAGCAGTATGTAAAATTTTGAAAAATAGAAGATACTCTCAGTAATAAAAAAACCCACCTTATTTTGAAGCACTGTTCAAAGACAGCATTATTTTTTAACCAATCCCTTCATTATAGGATGGAAACTAGGTGGACTATACAGTAGCAACTGTATAATATTTTAAACAGTAATGCAATTTCCATCTAAATATGTGGCAACAAAGTTAGTGCAACCCTATTATGCAAGTTTTTTTTTTTTTAATGTTCACAACAGTCAGCACTCTAAGTCACTCCAAAAAGCAGAAACATAACCCAGAGACATAGGAAACCAGAACCTGTTAGCATTTAATGTGACAACGTTTTATAAAACACATGCAACTGAGGTCTGTGGTAGAAAATTACTTTCATAGGTGTTTATGCAAGCATTCCCTCAAGAGGCATAATAAGGAACGAAACCAGCAACTTCAGCTCGTTTTTTCCAGCCATTTTGCAGCTTGCCCTACTGCAACCTTCTTTTCTAACGCTGAGATTCCCCATCCTTTCCTCCAAAGATTTCTGGCAGCACTGCTTTCCTGCATGGTGTACATCTTCAGTTTGCTCTAAACCAGTCCCGTACTAAAAGACTATGCTTAACCTCTTGAAATGTCTAAGCACCTTCTCACTTGAGCTGTACCAGCTTCTCCAGGTAAACTATGTTATCACTGAAACTTTCTCATTAAATAAAGACCAGTACAGTCAAGTAATTGCTGTAAATAAGAACGCTACACTCCCCTGCCCCTGTAATTTTTCCCAGATAAATAATTTCATTTTTTAAAAAATTTCGTCAAAAAGCACTATTCCAGTACTTTAAGTCTACGATTTTGTTTCACCCTATTTACCTTACTAAAGAAAAGGTATTTTACCTATGCTGCTCATTGAGGAAAGTAAAGAAAGTGCCCATTTGGAAAGGGATCCAATCAGACTGAAGCTTCTCCCCAGCCTCCTTAAACTATTTTCAAAAATGCCACTTGTCCAATTATTTACTTAGTTTTATTTTTCCTTTTTAACTGGAAATGTTCTCCTTTATGAGTGAGCAAAGTAGTATATAGTATTTCAGAAGCCATAAAACAAGCTACAAAATCTGAAGCAATCATACAAACCAGAATAGAGAAAAATCTTTTTATAGTTATTGTTTTAAATTGGAGCAGTTAAAAACGGGTAACATGCATCTTCAACCAGAAAAAATGAACTTGAAAGCTAGCATTAAGCTAAATGTCAAATAAGTCCTGAAAAAAGGTGGAAATTACAAGGCAGGCAACATTTTTGATTCATCTGCTTAATTGTGGGGATTTATTTTACCATTTCCCAGCTGTACATTTACATTGCAAGGTTCTTACATTCTTACACAGGTTCACGTATTCTAAACAGCAGGGAAGATCTCTGTGATTTATTTTCTTTAATTCAGAAGAAAGTGACTATGTTTTTATTTATCTCACCTCCTGTGCATCAAACCGCAGGATCTCCTTCATGTATGTGGGCAAGAGCGTAAGAAGCGTATAGAAAGTCCAGTTATAAGAGAAGTGTGCCACAACGATCGCCCAGAGCGGAAGGGACTCCAGCATAGGTCTCCAGGGAACAGATTTCTGTGTAGAAAGCTAGCAAGCAGGAGGCAGAGAAAAAGCGAAGAGAAGGAGGATCAGGACATCAACGTGAACATTCACTAAATACAGTGTTTTGATCCTACCCAAATCTATACTGATCACTCATTCTGAAGGGCACACAATGAGTCTCAGTCTACAGACACAAGTAACCAGCAATGAACGAGTTACTGCGTTCACTTCTCACTGCACGTATACCAATGTACCTTCCTTCTGTTGTTTGTCATTGCAAAGTAAACAAATTACTACTATATTTTGTAATCAGAATTTCAAAAAATGTACCTTCCCTTGTTGAGATATGGTGCTTTTACTGCTTTTACTGTAAATGATTAAATATTTAAAATCACACCCTAAACAAAAGTGTTCATTTATCTGGATCTTTCCTACTTAATCCTAGATATTAACTTTGGTCTCTCAGCCAGCTTCACAGGTTCTAAACACATATCCCAAGTCACAGGACCAAACTCTTATACACACTCTAGGGACAGGCTCATCATCATTTTCAAAATGTTTTCTCCATAAACAGTGATCTCTTTCTCACCCTTGAAGACACATTGAAAAAAAGCTGTAAAATGTTGTATTGCAAAGTTTAAAGACATTATACAGGTCTGGATCTAGTTTAAAGAGAAGTGATAGACTTGAGTTTTTTTATTTAAAAAGCCTCACAACAATGTCTGTGACAAAAGGCATTATTACAAATTATTTGTTTGATTAACAATCGTTTCTCACTTAAACAACTGCTCTGTGTTTTTAAATTTTTGTTTGACAAATTCTGCCTCTGTCTCAGATTAAGGATGTTCTTCTAGACATCAACAGAGCATGATGCCAATGACAATATTTGTGGTTTATGTTCTTGCTTAAGTAAGTACGAGTATACCAAAATACTGTACCTGATCTTTTAAAGAAGAGAGTATATATTCTCTTTCAGCATGTGAAATGCTCCTGTGAGTTTCTGGTGTATCACTAACCAACCACATCCAGAAGAAGAACCATAATACCCCAAGTGCACCTATTGTTGAGAAAAGATGGGTAAAGAAATAGAAAAATAATGTTCATTAAAATTATATTGGAATATTTAGAAAAAACTTCTAACTAAATAATCTGAAAGTGTTATTCACTCAATATAATTGCTCTGTTTTTATTTCTATCTACTTACAAACAGAAGTTCCCCAAAGTGGCTTAACAATGCACATTTAGAGGTAATAAGCAATAAAGAGGATTAAGCAGAAAAGTGGTTTTTTGGTTGGTTTTTTTCTTCCTCTTGGAAGTGCCTCATACAGCAAGAAAGTTGCATGCACATACATTTGTATTTTTATCAGTCACATGGGACAGCCACAAAGGATGTGGCTCACCCTGAGGAAATAAAAATTCACATTAAGTTTAATCACAAAAAATACTTTGTGCACATACACAGAATACCACGACACGCAGTTTAACTGATGTACCAACCCTCCTCTTCTTTTTTAAGCCAAACCCCAGAACTGTCATTTGAAAAAGGTGATTTTTCAATAGTCAGTCCAAATCAACTGTACTTTTATGTAGCTATAACACTGTAACTTATTTAATTTTGTCCAAGTCTTTGTTTTGAATCCTTTTTATTTATACCAAAGTTGGAAGTGGTTTTGTGGAGGACAGTGTAACCCTTGTTTTGTATTCTGATTCTCCCTTCCCGTGCAGAATATGAAACAGCTCAGGCATGTAAACAGACCTATAAAAAGCATCAGGTAGATTTATGACATGCTGTTAGAAAACATTTCCAGTGTTTGAGCTTCTTCTAGAAGGTAACCCACAGTAAACATGCTATGCCTTGCATTTTGGGCATTCCTTCAGGGCTCCTGTGACTGCTAGAGAGATTTTCCACCCAGTTTCTGTTCGAAGCCACAGTAACTTTTCACATGTTCTTTCATTCAGAGAAGTCTGTTGCTGGGATTAAAGTTATTAACTCAATTTCACACTTCAAATAAGAAGTTTCAGCCTGTTGTTTCAAGTGGCAGGAGAGTTAAGAGCATTTGACTTGTACCAGCTTTTGTCCAACCCAGAGACAGCTTTGCCCACTGGAAGCAAGGCTCTCACAACCACGCACAGGAATCTGCTTAGCTTTAAACGCCTCTAATTTCCCAGGAGGAATGAAATACCAACCCTACATGTCAAACAATTCTTTTAAACCTAAAACTAGTTTTCAAAAATAATATGGATTGTACTTTTAATAATTAAAAAAAGCCACTTACCAAATATGTAAAACACATAAACCCAGTTCATATAGTAGCAAATTAAACCAGATAGTGGCAGAGAGACAACAGTACCCAGCTGTGCACCTAGCAGAAGAAAGCAAAACAAGTGGAAAAATAATAATCAGATCTTCTACAGACCCCTTAAACTAAGTGTCATTTCACAGTTATTTTATTTTTCTGCAATAAATCAGGCAGAAAAGATTTGTCACCACCAATAGAGGGCTGCCATCCCACCTTCAAGAAACATGGGCACAGTAAGCTGCTTCGGCAGCTCCAAGTAAATGGGGTCACAAAGTCCTAAGCATCCAAAATTACAAGCAAAAAACCGTTAAAGTCAGGGATTCTTGGCACGTTCATCTCCAATAAAGTGATGGCTCTAGGACCTCCAAAACAAGGCAAATTAGTCAACTGACATTGCTGCAAAACGAGAGAGAGCAGACCACAGTAGGATTAAGGACTTGGCGGAGGGGAAATACTCTGACTTGATATAATCAATTTGCATTTCTCATAACTCCTGCTAGCTCCACAGAAACAGGAATACTAGAAACAGGAGCCAGAAGGCATCCATATAACCAGCAGGTTCAAACCCCATGGTCCCTGAATTCGACAGGGTGCAGGATTAGGCAAGGAAGAAGGGAAAGGTGGGCAGACTCCAGTTTAGATACAAGCCAAAGCAGGAAAGAACTATTCTTGAGTCTGTAATTCAATATATATTTTGCAAAGGATGGAGGGTTCCCCCTTGCCCCAAATCTAAACCATAAACCCAGCACATATTATTTACATACTTCGGAACTCTACTGATGAACAGTGATAAACAGCAGACCTTGTCTCTCAATGCTAGCTTATATGATCACTTCTCCAAACGCAATCTCAACTCAGAAAACAATACACCATGTTGATATGCTGGCTGCCTAGATTCCATCTTCATGAAAACAATAATTTTTATTTGAAGCAGAAAGCTTCAACCACAAACAACAAAACCACATACTTCATGCAACATATAAATGAAAATAACAACTACATACGTTCTCTTAAAAAATCAACATGATCATGATTAAGCAAACCACAAACCACATGACTGCCAACCATGAAAATGTGTGAAAAAGGAAACAATCTGCCAAGTTTGCACAAGATGCCTTATCTGTCCATGACTGCTAACAATTGTCAGTTCAAGGTCACAGCCTCTTCTCACTAGTACACTGGCATACAATTTCACAGGAAAGGTCAGTTTAAAAGCTCCCAGTTGTTAATGCAGTAAATGCCAAACCCAACTCTTTGCTTGATTTGTGTGCTGGCTCTCAGACAGACTTCTTCTAAAGCAGATTTACTTCATTAATATGGCAGAAAACAGATTAAAAAAAAGAAAACGCTTTCTGCTGCATTAGGTGGGTTAAAGTGGCTCATGGGAGAGTCTGATGACTGCCTGAAATAGCACTGTATGAGACACTCGGCTAGGAAGGAAGCGAGGAAATGCGAGGAAGAAAAGATTCATTCCTGTTGGCACAAGTGAGCCACTAGACTGGCTTGTCTGCTTGAGAAGCTGTTGCCAGCTTACACGGTACAGTCCTGTCTTCTTGATGAAGCCCAGGTCGAATAAGAAAGCAGTAACAGAGTTAATACTAACAAGAGTGAGTAAAACAAACCATTACTTCACCAAGTAAATGCAAAGTCTGTCATCCTCGAAGAATAACATCAATTTTGACCAGTAAATTCAGAAAGCTACATTTTTAACCTGCCCCACAAATGCTGCATCAAGCAATGTGACTGACCAATAAACCCAAAAACCAGACGAAGGCTCAGTGGAGATGTGTCCACACAGCTCAGGGCATAATACAGGGTGTGACTGACCAGGGCTGTTGCAAAGAAAGCTGACTTTAACCAAACACAAAGGGGAGCAGGCAGTGGCCTTTGTTGAGTGTTCAGCTGACTGTATCAACAGCTGAGTGGATCAGGTGCTGCCTCTCCCAAAGTTCGTTACAAGTGTGACTGTCTCCCTGAGTTAGCCAGACCAGCATGAGGGGAGTGAATACATGGCTCAGCCCAGCATAAAGTATAAAAACTAAACCATTAACAACAGAATTTCTCAGAGAACAACAGACTTGAGCTGCCTCCAACCCACATTTTCCTTCCTGGCAACCAGGGATTCCCAGAGTCGTGACAGTGAGCATCTCAGAGACCAGTAGTGCCAACGTGTATTGCAATTACTCTGTTTTTCTAAGTGCTAACTTACATTTGTACTGTGCTTTCAGTGTATTTGGTGTTACTCTGCTAAATCAAAAACACTGTGTAACATCAACTACCTTCAAATAAGTAAATCTGATATCAAACATCACCCCTATTCATAGAATATCTAAAAGGACCTGGTCAGGGAGTGTCGGTCGCTAACAAGGAGCTCCTGCAGCAACAACTAGGACCTTGGATATTTTCTTCCTCAAGTTCCTCCAAAAACACTTTAAAAAACCCCCAAACAAAAAGCCAACCAAACACCTCTGTTCTGTGATTCTGCGCCAGCTTTGCTGTTCCTAATACTAAACCTCCTTTATTTACAGTATCTTCTATGAATTAGCTTCACAGTAACTCTTTGCACTGCTTTATACCAAAGTTAGTCTGAAGTTTATACTGAGTTGCACATCAATATCTTTTCTCAGGGTTACAAGAGCTATGAATAAATGAAAATAATGAATCCAAAGCAAGATTTAATTCAATGTTACGCTTTCCAGATTAAATGCTGATTAAAATTTTTAATATAAATCCCTTTGATTTAAGTCAATCCTCCCTGTTACTGCAATAAAAATGTATAATCCTGTTACCAGCATGGGAATTTCTCACCTGCGTATGAAATACTAAGGAGTTTGCTGCGTTCCAATGGAGGAGCCCAAGAAGACCACATCGAATGCATGGCTGGGAAGGTAACACCCTAGAAAACAACATTTCACTCTTTTGAAACATGACAATTTTAGCACTCCCTTCAACTTTGCATATTTCAAAGCATATTTCATTAAAAAGCAGTAGTACAATCTGTTAGTTTCTTGCTTAGCAAGAAATCACATTGAAAAAAGTTTGCAAGGTAGGAGTGTTAGTAGGCAGAATTAATTTCTCCTGCTTTTGATTCTGCATGGATTGGAAAAGCTGCGAGAATACAAACAATAGTGGTCTGAAACAATTTGGTTTCTGACAAATAAGAAGGGATAATTCTAGTTTTGTCTCAAGTGTCCTTAAAAATAAAACCTTCTTCATATTCAAAAAGCTTAGGCTAAACTACAGGGCAAACTTTTAAATTATTCAATAAAATTTAAGCTACTCATAGTGAAACAATCCATATAGTACTTACTCCAGCATACTGACACCCACAGGGTCTAATCACCACAATATATTAATAAATTATTCAGATACATTTTCAAGTTACACAGAGAAAAAGGATTACCTCTCCCAGTCCTTCCAAGGCTCTGACAGCTATGAGGTAGCCAACTCCCAAATTTGCAGCTAAGGGAGTAAGCAAGGTAAACACAGATGTACCAAAGATGCCAAACCCCAGTAACAGCTTTCCTCCAATTTTGCTTGCAAGATATCCTCCTGGAATTTGAGTAATGATATAGCCATAGAAAAAAGAACCAAGGATCCATCCTTGAGTGTCAGCGTCCCAAGAATATTTTTCCCCCTAAAAAGAGAAAAAAAACCCAAAATGCAGTAAGTTCAAAATAGCAGTTTCTCTGACTGTATTTTATACAACTTTGACCCACCATTTTGTCCTTTACACCTAAATTACAAGTCTTTGATGGCCTCCTCCCAAGGGTTTCCTTCCCCTATACACATCTATACTGCAATTAAAATTGTGTTGAAAGCTGATTCAGGTGGTTTACAGCCTATCCAGACATATCTAGCCCAAGTATGAAAATCATTACAATGTGAAATGTAAGTGCCTGGGCAGTTATCCCTTTTGGAGTTTTAAGCGACTTGGGCCAGGTGACACAGGTACAGCTACACAGTCTGCATGAGTGTGACTCCCACTTCTGTATCCGTGTTGACACTCTGGCTTTTCCTGCAGAAAATTTATGGACAGAAAAGCAAACAAGGAGATGCAGATGCTTAAATTTCATATAAAGAAAGAGAGCAGCCAAGGACAGGACTCACAAGGGTAGTTACAAGAACAGGATAAACACAGCAGAGGGAAGATGAGTTTAGCAGACAAAGCAATAGAAGCAAAGATGATTGAGACAAGGAGCCTGAAGCTATAAAGGAAGTCAGCAAGAAGACATGAGCTGTTGTCCAATAAAGTGATTATGAAGTTTGAGATCATTCCAAAAGCCCAATTTATGAGCATCTAAAGGAACAGCATACATTTCACAGAAGTGATATGACAGAATCTTCCTCCCATAAAGTTTGCCGTTATAATTTGCTCGTTATAAATAATAAATGACCTCTAAACAAGCAAACAAAATGCAGGCAGGAAGATGGCAAGAGTGCTCAGTAATAAACTTCAATTACAAGATGAGATCTATGCAAGTCCAAATTCACAAAGTTGGTTGCTTTTTTTTTTTTTTTTAAAAAAAAAGCATTTTCTCATATCCAACAGTTCTGTTCAGTTAGGAAATGTGATTTTAAGGATTGCTGGAAGGGAAGTCAGAGATAAAGGATACAAAGACAAGAATTGTGATCCGGGAAAGAAATCAAAGAACCAAGGAGAAAAATATTACAGGTTAACTTGTAATGAAATTTCATGCCATTGAGAGTGTACAAAGAACAGGCAAATACAGACAGTGACGTGAGCTCTGACGCAGAAGTAACAGTGACAACTGGGTTATAAAATGGTGAGTCATAGGAGATCTACAAGGTCAGGCTGGCAATTTGTAATAAATAGCACAGAACGGACATACATAAAACCTGACCCTTAGCACAGCATTTCCAAGTTAGCTAGTCATTTAAGGCTCTTGTTTTTCAGAATAGCTTTAAAGGAACCACTGAAAGGGCCATTGGGTAAAGAGAGCCCAGTTTTTTGCCACCTAACCATGAGTCATCAACCACAGACTTCTATAAAAACATTTTTACATGCCACATCACAGGACAATATGTTTGAGACCTCACCGTTGTGTTGCGAGGAACAGTTATGGTGGAGGAATGCTCCGGACACACATTGGAAGTCGTATTCTTCACTAAGCTCGTGTTAGGCTCTACCATATCCACCAGAGCAACACTCAGGTTCACACGCAATGCGTACAGGAGGAAGAACCCGAAGAAGGCCAGCAGTGCTAGACTGTAGCGAGCTGAGCAGCATGCGGGGACTGAAACGACAATAAATGAAAAAAAATTGTTTTAACAGACCTTAACAAAATAAGAACCAATAAGCAGCTTTTACTAATACTTTCAGAAATTTACGGGTAAGAAAAAATAGGCAAGAAAACAAGCTAATTGTTCTACTCTAAAGGAGGGTATTCAATAGGCGTAGAGGCTGAGGGTAGGGGAAAAAGAGAGCCCACTCTTCTATCGATGCACAAACCAAACGTAACTCTGGTTTAGACAACTGGCAGCTACTTGCACAAGCGTAGGGGGTGGAGAAGAAGTGTGGTGTGTGGTCTGCGGAAATGCATTTACAAACATGGTTTTCAAAAGTCGTCTACAAAATACAGTAATGTTTATTCAAAGCAGAACTTCACACTAAAAAAACCCAAGATCATCAGGAAGCCTGTCCTATACATGGAAACAGCTCAAGAAAAACAGAGACTCTTAAAGTAACATTAAAAGCAGTCATTGAGATTCCAGGTTGTTGTCTAGCACAAGTTTTCCTTCTACAGGTACACTTATAAAGGAATATGCATTTGCTAACAGCTGCCAGAGAAACCTAGCAGACAGGGGAGTGGCAAACGCTGCAGCAGCACTGTGACAGCAACAGCTGCCCAGCGCGCCCCTCTCCCACAGGCACCGTACAACAACGAAGCTGACAAAGGAAAAGGAGTCTTAAACACATAAAATCTGTGTTGTGGCATTAAGCTGACTCTGTCAGCTGTCTAAACCCAGGTACCAGGCTTCTCTGTAATACAGTTGTTGATTCCCATGTACAGTGGTACACAGCAGCGTTCGGCAGAGATCATTCATCAGCACCAGGAGGTTCAGACCTGAGCTGAGCTGTAACTTGGCCAGCACACCACCAGCGACAATAAATTGCGTGTCTATACAAAATACAGCTTACAGCTCCATAGATACTCTTTATCAGCTGGTGATACCTGAACCTCCTGAACAGAATTGTTGAGAAACTACTTGAAGAATCTGCTGAATTTACAAATAGTTACAGAGTGAAGTTTCCCTCCCTTCGGAGGAAACCATAGTGCTAAGAGAAAATTTTATAACTTGGACATCTGAAACTCCAGGAGGGCTGGGGATCAGCACCTGCAGATATTACATCAGTCTACAGTGATCTCATCTTTCTCTGACTATTCAGAATTCAAATTATGACTATAACAAGTATATTTATGAGCAACAGGACTGACTGGAGCCTGATCTGCTACAGCAGTATGTCTCTTGACTGGATTCCCTGATCTGCAATAAGAAGCAAAAAGCTTCTGGGGACAAGCCACCTAAAGACTCCCTCCTTCCCAGCAGCTTCCTAGAAACAAGGAATGAGCCTATGCAATGTTGTCTTTTTAAGTGGGGGCACCTTTTTTGCAAAACAGTATTTTTCATGAAATTAGCAGAACTTTCCCCTTTTTGAAGTCTCTAACCCTGACCAACTTTATGTGAAGTTCATGATGGCTCCGTAAGTTATTAAAATGACACAGAGACACTGTACTTGCTGTGTTCATTTAGCAAATGAATAAGTGAGGCTGCTGTACAAATATGTAAAATGCCTTCCAGACCTGTGGTAATTGCAAGTCTTGCCTCAGCAGCAACTGAAAAAGGCATATCCAATTTTTAAGTGACATGAAGGAGAGCTGCCAAGACTTTATTGCTTACATTAAAAACAATAAGCACCACGAGCAGGAAGCACTTGGTGTACAAGAACTAGTCAAGCAGTTTCATTGTCCTTTATTGTTGTTTGAAAAGGAATTTGCCTTAAGTAGAAAATGTACAGCAATATAACAATGAATACAATTACAGGTAAAGCTATTTAAGCTTTCCACTGCCTGTATTCGCTGGGGTTAATCAATAAGAACAGAAGGCTGAATGTCACACCAATGATGTAACCTGTCCTTGGATATGAAAATTAACTGGAACATCCATCACTCTTCCTCAGGAAGTCTCTTACTGGTATACACCTTATCTGGAGAGCAAGCTCCACAAACCAGATGTGCAGGAACTTAAGATCACTAATGTCAGTTTTTGTTTTTTTTTTCAACTGTCAATTAGTTTATCACAAAAATCTAACAAACATGTAGATCTGCAAGTCTGAAACAAATGGCTGCTAAATTATTGCTTGCCTGTCTTTCCAGTCAGTGCATTTGCAAGACCTGAGAATATTAGATCAGGTTAACAGAACAGAATATTCGAGAAGACTCCAGATGCACGTCAGTCACCCACCTCTTCAGGAGATTGCCACAATCAAAGAGACACAGACATTCACCCCCCCTAAAGTTTAAGGCAGCAAACCAGGACACTGAAGGTCTTACCTTGATTGGTAGTCTTGGGTCCTACTTCTACAGTTAATTCTGATCTCAGGGACATGTTTTACAATACTGTAGGTATAACTGAACCAAGATTCCTAAAATGCAGTCAAAAAATAGGTCTGTGCTGCAAGTTGCACAGCAGTTAAAGGAAGTTGCTCTTCTGCTGTATTTTTCCTTGTGGGTGAGGTGAACCGCCTCAACTGGAGCAGGATGCATTGTGTAAACTTAAGAACATATTGCTTTAATAACAGTCTTGAACTCAAATTTCTCTCCTTCTGGCACTTGTAAGTCATTTATGACTTACAGTTACATGTTAATGTCATATGTTTCCCAAGAAGGTTAGAGTTATCTGCGAATGGCATACTGAAGAATCTCAAAACCTCCCTTTACTCTTCACAGTTTGTCTGTTGTGGGGAACCAGACAGCACAGACACCCCCTGAAGACACCAGCTCTGCTGCTGAGCCCTGACCCCATCACGACCCTCCTCTCCTCGAATCACCCCCGTTCCCTCTCCACCTTCACCACAGGCAATCCGTGT